TTTGTTACACGAAGGCCCACCCCGGACTGTTTCCTCCTGAAAGCGCCCATCCCTGGGTCCACCATTTGTGCTTTCCTAGCTTTGGTGCTCAGGCACCAGCTCCTCCTTACCTTTTCTGCTCTAATCTTTCGCTGCAAGCCATGGCAGTTCCATCAATCATCTACAGGGTATGTTGTTATCCCCAGCGCCACTCTCTCGAAAGCGGTGGTCACGATGGTCCAGGCGGGCGGTTTCTGCCATCGTCATTGGCGGAAGAGCTGCGAGAGAACACCCCTCAGCCCTTCCACCAATGAGATGGCAGCAACCACCCGTCCCATGCCATCGCGTCATTTGCTTTTAAGAGCTTAAATCTAGCAGATATCTAGATACCGAAAGTAGAGAATCCGCGAAACGGACTGGATTTCTATAGGTTCGGCTGAGTTTGTGAGAGCAAAGTAGTATTTTCAAATACGCGAAACTCATCAGAATTGAGAAGCGCTCACTGATTATTCGGAACAAGGATAGTTGGGGGAGGCACGCGGCGGCACTACTATGCCGTGCCATCTTTGCCTGTCTGCACCGTCTCACCGAGATAGTGTTAATCTCATGTAGATGGTGCAGACGGGCAAGCGCTTCATTATTTTGTATGCGTTTCGGTGCTGACTAGTTAAGTGGAGCTTGTCAGGTCGGCCTGTGTGCTTTGTAAAACTGGGCCGTGTTCGACCTGTGACAAAAATCCATGAACTTCTGAGCTTAATATAGGAAGGACGATAAGTCGAAATGACGCTCCAAATGAGATCCCTAGCATTTCGATGTGCTTCCGGACGTTGATTACAAAACCGTCTTCTGTCTGCTGTTGACATATCTGAGCAAAATTACGTAGGTTTCCGAGCGAGAGGATGCCCACGACAAACTCGAATTCACGGCGTAAGGCTTCAAATATTAGGTCATCCCATTCAAAAGTGCCGAAGATCTTATTCATATAAAACGAAGAGAAAAACAGATAGAAAAGTAATATTTTGGCTTTGAGTTAAGTAGATCTCCTTCACCAATGACCCGCTCCCAGGGCCCCGAAAGCCTTTGGTACCTTCGGTTTTCAACAAGTGCGAGTAAATTGCTGTTGATGCCAATTTCGGCGAATGACAAAACATTGTAGCGTTTGCCGTCGGAGAGTACCCTCGACTGACCAGAACAGTTGGAATCGAACGGCTATGTTGGGCGAATGGGGCGATTGAACCCAGGTCTCAGTATTGTTGTAAAATGTTTGGAGTTTCATTCGGTACAGCCGGTGTTTACATTCTGTAATGGCGTTCAGTGCTGAAAGGTGCTCAACAGGGAATTTATTAGGCTAGCACTGTTTTTCTTTCCATGTGTGGCGTTCAAAAACGCAAATGAAAAGGCAAAAAGCAACAAATCGTAAAAAAGGGGTGGGGATCATACCAAGCTCCTTTCAGGGGGGGGGGGAGATCGCACGGGCTCGACCAAAATCCAGCGCATGATGTGTCCTGAACACAAAACTGTGAACTCTGCCACTTTCCAAGTAGTGTGTCCTCGCTTCATAATGAGTGTGGGTATGCTCCCCCTTCAGTTACACAACTCCGTCAGAGTGTCCCGCAGGGCCACCGTAACGGGAAGATGGGCCACATAAATACTGTCCGAGAGACGGGACTGGAGTTCGAACACCAGAGGATGTATTGCAAGCGATTCATTTCACTTAATTCCCCTTGCGACTACCGTTGTCTCAATTATTTCACTAAGAAAAGGATCCACACATCTTTCTTCCCTTGCCGTTTCGATCAATCAGCGGAGCGGCGCGAGCCTGTCCTGTCAGCTCTTCCAATCGATACGTATCTAATCCTTTTCGCGGGTTCTCCGACTTCCCAGTTCCGCGCCAATCCGCGCTAAATTCGAATTTGGTTGAATTGTTGAGTTTTCATTCGGGAGTTCAGTTTCATGTTGATTTTGATGTTAGGATGCTGTTGATTTTGCAATGTTGTGTTATTGTTATTTATGGATGCGTTGTTATCTTCACAGGGTATTTTAGAATCAAAATAAATTTTACTCCGTAGTAACTCTAAAATTATACAACACGACAGATTTCATGAAACAATAATTGAGTAAAAACATCCGCCGTATTTCTCTACTCATCTTCCATTGATTTCCTCTCTAATTTCGGAATCGGATAGCCGTGTTTAGCATCGGCAGCAGGCCAATCGTAAATTCTATTGACGGATTCTTGATAGTCACTTGTGTAGATGTGTTGGCGAATGTATAATTCCTAAAATTCGCAAGTTGTATTTATGGGATGAATATACAGCTCCTCAAGTTACAAGTACCCTTCAAGGTAGCGTTCAGACTTCGTGATGACGCGCGTCTACGCGCTGTAACGCGCGGCGACCAATTGCGATCGATAGCAGACTGTTTGATTGGCAACACCTACCCTCCAGTTCCGGAATGCACAAGTGGCACCGATCGATTTCTGTCTGCAGGCGGCGTTCTCGTTTTTACGACTGAAGCGCTGTTGCAACTGTAGCGCGTCATCGCGAAGTCTGAACGCGCTGCCTTAACAGTAAGAAGCCGTCGGGTAGGGCAAATGCTTACGATATCGTGCGGTTCGGGATACAATGTAGCGAGGTTGTGATGGTAAAGATATTTTGCAACCTGTAAACAAATTATTTTTAGGTTTACGGGAGGGGGGGGGATAGTGAGAGGTGGAGTGTCCCAAAATTGCACGTAAAATAAAGGGTGTGAATCCTTATAGCTCCTGGTGTTCTGAATTTATAATCCGGTTAAAAAAATAAACTCAAAACTTACTCGTGTATGACTGTTTCTTTTCTAACTACGTGGAAACGGAAACGACGTGAAATCCCTGAGTGACAGGGTCAAGTTTGAGATTGGTCAGGTGTGCGCCAAAATGTACGGGGCACACACAAGCCGAGTTAGGCCCCGCTCGGTGTGGGCGGTGCAAGCACTTGAATGGGCGGTGCTTGCTGCAAATATCCACAACTTATTTTCGGGAGATCGGGAAAAACCAGTGCAGGAAATTTTGTGCGAAGTATGTCTGCAGTGTATGTGACATCTGCGAGTACCACCACAGCCCTCGGACTAGAGGAGCAGGATTACCCAGCAAGTGTCTGAACTGGCACAACCAAATACCGATGTCGTCCTGCCAGAAAGTCAACTTACCGCGACGGCGATTTTTATTGACAACTCGCGGATGTCCTTAAGACGAGGATAAAGTCTCGAGTATTTTTCCTAGGGATTTCTCTGTCACACTAGTTGACACTTCCTGGAATTGACCAACTCTTTAACTGGCTGAGGAAGAGCTATGTGAAGCGTTAAAGCTTCTCCTTATTGTAAGACTGACTCGGGCTGCTAAAAGGAAAATCTTGTCTGTAATGTGTTTTGAACTGAATAGTACAGCTCCGAGACCAACTCCGGGGAAAATATAGGCATTGTTGCCTTGGCCTGGTTTACGTTTTCCCTTTGTAGACCACATTTTCGAATGGCGAACCCGAAGCAAACAGCACTTTTCCCTGAAAGTAGTTGGAAAGTTGTATTGATAAGTGATTTGTGGATCTCTTATTGTTCATCTGCTCACATCTGTCAGGCGAATAGCTGCTTCAGCTGTACATTCCGCATTGCTTGTCGGGTTTGAGAGAGCGAATATTATCGGTCGTTCGTTATTTGCTGCCATCGTCTTGATAACTGCTTCGGTGAATGCGCCTCCCTTTGTCGACGCCCCTACAAAAAATTATGCGATAGAGATGGGAGTTGGGGGAGGGATGTGGCGGGGGGGGGTGGGGGTTGCACGCTGCGACGCTACCTAGGCTCACTAATGGAACTCACCAGGACAGTGATCTCTTCAAGCTCAGTCCTAGAAAGATGATCAGAATCGGCGCGATCGGAAGCCACCGCCTCACACCCATCAAGCTCGAAGTCAAGTTGTGTAACGGAACCCGGGGCGCATGTTTTGGCAGCGAGACAAATTTCTCATGGCTGATTTTCCGCCGTCCTCTTCTCGCACTCGACACAAAATCTTGGTAAGGATTCACGAAGAACGGCTAGGTGGGATGGGAAGGGTACCTTATCAGAGAAGGAAATTCTGGCGAGGAGGGGGTTCTCACAACCTGATGATGTGAGTGGTGTGCCCTTCATCCAAGTCTAGTAGCACCAGTCGAGCTTACCGGCGAAGAGGAGTATGACATGACTATATAGTTGATGTTCATCCGTTATACATTCCTTATTCGTGAGGCAGAGTAGGCAGGACGTTTGGACATGGCATAGGATGGGTTACTCGTGGGATGTCTCTGTGTGAGACAACAGTCATCTTTTGTCAGTTCGTGAGCAAGACATGATTGCTGTAACCAAAATGAAGTATCTCTTTAAAAGCGCAGTCACCGCCACGTTCAGTCGAAGTACGCTGTCGTGCCCACCAAATCTCAGTGGTTCCGACTGTAGCTGTCCAAAGTCAGTGTTTCTCCCCGCTTATCGCCGGTGTGTTTATAGTCGGCGATCGCGCGGCCCAAGTGTTTGTCGCTCGCTTGCGGCCACCTACTGCAGTTGGGACATCACGCGCAGAATTTCTCAGCTAGTTGACTTAATACGCGGAGCATGGGCGGGTCGGTTGGGCGAATGCCGCGCTTCAACAGTCAGAGCCTCTTCTGGTGCCTAGTGATGCCCTTCCCCTCCTCTACTCCTACCCCCCTTCACTCATCTTGTCCATCGGGCGACACCTTCAAATGAAATAGCGCAGTTCGTCTCTTCCACTCATCTTGTCCATCGAGCGACACCTTCAAATGAAAAAGCGCAGCTTCGTCGCTGTAGTCGCGGACACCGCCGTACGTTCGGACTCATCAGCGGGAGGGGAGGAGGGGCTTTATTGAAGAAGTTTTCTCCAGAGCCGTGGTGGGCTGGGGATTTGGATAAGGAGAAACAAAACTTGGACCCTGAAAGCTGGGAAATTTGGTGTCACTGTAACGGGGGAAGAGGCAGAGGGGGAACAAGACTAGTTGTCTGGGCTCTTCCAACTATTGTCCTGCCACCAGCTCTTTACCCGAAGTTCAACCTTCGTTTGTTCATGCTCACGATGAAAAAGGCGATATCAACATACAACCTACCGATGATGGCGTGCGGTTTCACCTGTTTGACTACTTCTAAAAGGTCTTTAGTGTCTTCCATTTCCTAAAAAATGGTCTTGTCCCACTCTGGAGATGATAAGTTTCGATGCCTACAAAGTCACCAACTTTTGCGAATGGGAAATGTCGCGGTGTTAACGTTGGCATTCGGCTTTTCGTGATAAGACCGTCGATATCGATCATGTAGATTTGTGCACATGCCTCCTCCACGGTAAGACCTTCCTCCACCATTTCTCTTACGCACATTTCTGCCACACCCGTAGCAGCCTGAATACAATATCTGAAGCATGACAAGTACTTCATTACTATTTTTTCTCACTTGTTTGACGAACGTATTAGTTCTCGTATCGACTCTCCTCTCCGGTATGTACGTCTCTGCCTCTCTCTCCCGTCCAGATTCGCATTCCTCACAACGCTCGCAACTGCCCCTTTGGGAACGTCCTCTACGACTTCAAGGACGTGCTGTAGGGGGGGGGGCTGCTTCCCAAAAGCTCAGCTGGAAGGTTCTGCAACTCTCACCTACACTGTGGACCGTGCCCCAAGGGAACATCGCTCTTTCCACCTAAACAGATAAAGGGTGTTATCTGTAGTAACAAGGGGGGCGTCTAAAACTGGCTCAAAACCATCCTAGAGTCCTGGCCAAGAAAGTTTTCGGCAAAACGACATCTAAAATTCAGGCGAAATGTTGCGGCGAGTCGGGATTTATTCAGGGAAAGGAAGGAAGGCTGTCCCCAACGCAACGTGCACTCGTTATCCCTGCAAACGAGTAGGCGAGCGAGGGTGCAAGCGCAACCAGGGCAGTTTTCTACCAAGTGTGTCGTTCTGATCACGCAACGATTGGTGGAAAAGGCTGCTCTGGCTTCACTC